CCAAGGCTGGCTAAGGTTTGCAGCGCTGGACAAAGCGTGGATAGAGACAGACATCTCGGATGTGGTGTCTGTTCAGAATCCAGGTCAGGAACCGCTCCAATCCCAAGCCGTATCCTCCATGAGGGCACGTGCCGTATTTCCTCTGTGAAATCCAGGCAGGGGATATTACACATTTTCCAGTCATTTGTCGTGAGAAGCCCCAGCTCCCGTCCGAGCCCAGCACAGGCTGGTACCAAGGGAGGCACTGACCTGATCCGTGTACCAGTAGTAGGGCGTGGGATCGATGCCCTCTCTCTTGTAGCCCTGGAGCAGCTCCTCGCTGTCCCAAATGCGCATGGAGCCGCCGACGATCTCGCCCACGTTGGGCATCAGCACGTCCACCTGCAGTGCAGCACAGCACAGCCCCTTAGAGCAACGCTGCTGCACAGGGGAGCACACACGGCCCGCGCCAGCCGCGCCAGGCACCCCGACAACACCTGGCAAGGGCTCTCCAAGGCGCTCCCTGAGCACCCCTGCCCTCACACGTGCCCACTGCCCCGAGCTAGCCCAGCAGTAAAAGGACTCACCGACTCGGTGAGGCGCGAGTCGTCGCTGCAGCGCTGCATGTAGAAGGACTTGATCTCTGCAGGGAACCGGCACAGCAGGATGGGCTCGTTAATGGTGTCTGTCATCAGTCTCTCGGGAGCTTCGGGGATGTCCTGTGGTTAGAGCAGGCTTTATTCACGTTCAGCACCAAAACTACGCCCAGACACAAGTGCCACGAGAAGTGGGCATGAAAGGAGACAGTTTCAGACTGCACATGTCCACGCTTTCATCTTAATGTGCCTAAATTCTTAAAACAAAGTTATTTTAGACATATATTATTCCCAGACGTCTAGGAAAAAAATCCTGTCTATGCTGTCAAGTGCTCCTGAGCTCCTTCAAACAACTATCTCACATGCTGCAGAAGTGTGGCCAGGGAACTGATGACAGGTGACAGCACAGGTTTTATCCTGTGTTGAAGGGCATCAGGTCAAATCCCAACCCACAGCTGCATTCCTACAGGACATTACTCCAGCTCCCAGCGCGACATACCTCCCCAAACTCATAGTAGGTACCATCTTCCTTCTTCACATCGTGTTCCTTCAGCCACTCGATGGCCTCAGCGTAGTTCATGCGTCGGAAGGGACGTTTGGGGGGCTGGAAACCCTGTGGATAACAGCAAAGACAGGGGCACGAGCACCATTTTAAAAGGGGTTCTTTTCTAGCTGATCAGCACGTCCACAACCTTTCCCAGCTCACATGCCACCAAATTATCACTTAAATGAACAAATCAAGCTCAGTACTACAAAGCTAGAACCAAACACAACCATCTCAAGCCCAGTAAATCTCACAGATCACCCGGGAGGAAAGATAAGGAAGTACTTCCAGAGCTTTAGGGCTCCATGTTCCAGGGGAGGAACTGAAACACCACTTGTTTCATCACTTCCTCATGCTCCATCAGCAAGCACCAGCCAGCTGATATCCACTCTCTGGGATGGAGGGCTGTATTCCACTGGCACAGCACACACTTCCATAAATCCTGGCACACTGGTGGCTTCTGGAGCATGCTAGCAGGGAACATCTTCCCCCACAGTTCCCTGCTTTGGTCTTTATCAGCCTTGCAGTTTTTTCACTCTTATTATGTTTAATATTCTTCTTGCCATTACAAACAGTAAGTAAGCTCACTGCCATGCCCTGCATCTCCCCAAGGAATGTGCTGAGTAGGAAAGGCTTTAGATCCTGTTTTCCTGGCTGTTCCCATCGCTGCTGCCTACCGGGTTGAGGTCGTACAGTAAGCTCGCTGCAGGTGACTTCAGCACTCTGTCTACAACATCACACACCAAGTTCTCCAGGCGGTCCAACAAATCCTCAAAACTTATAAAAGGACATTCAGCTTCGATGTGAGTGTACCTGAAACAGAGCCACACCACTGCAAAGTCACATACAAGCAACACATCCTTAGCTATGAAACAAACATCTAAAAACCCACAACCCAAACCCCTCTTACTCCCACACCGTAAAGGAAATCAAGCTGTTTGAAAAGAAACAAGGACAACTGTCCATACTCTGCCAAGTGCCGGCGGGTCCTGGACTGCTCAGCTCTGTAGGACTGAGCAATACAAAAGACATCTCCCAGAGCTGGCAGGCAGGTCTCCAGGTAGAGCTGGGATGACTGGGTCAGGTATGCCTCTTCGCCAAAGTAATCCAGCTTGAACAGGGTGGAGCCTCCCTCCACCTGCGTCTGCACTAAGGTTGGCGGTGTGACCTGTAGGAGAACAGGGCTGTCACTGCTTGAGTGAAGAACTGAGGACACAGGTGAGCCAGGGCACCAGAGCAGTCACTTGCTGACCAGGGAACACACACTTACTTCATAGTATCCGTTGGCAAAGAAGTGATCCCTGAAGGCCTGCACGACCATGGAGCGCACCTTGAAGATTTTGGACATGTTCTCACCTCGAATCATCATGTGCCTGTTGTTGAGCTGCACGTCCACCTCCGAGTCCTCGTTGAGCAGATTGTCAGCCCCTCCTGCCGGGGCCAGGCCAATGAGCTCCCAGTAGTCACAGCTCAGCTCGTGGCCTCCTGGAGCCTGCAATGGGAGACAAACACTGGGGAAAAGGTCCACTGCTTGCCCCTTGGATGTCTTTTCACAGGGGCTTGGAGTGATGGGACAAGGGGCAATGGCTTCCCCCTTGGGGACTGAGGGCACGGTAGATGGGACATCAGGAATTCTTCCCTGTGAGGGTGGTGAGGCCCTGGCACAGGCTGTCCCAAGAAGCTGCGGCTGCCTCACCCCTGGCAGTGTCCAAGGCCCGGCTGGACGGGGCTTGGACCAGTCTGGGCTAGCGGGAGGTGTCCCTGCCCACGGCAGGGCTGGCACTGGAGCTCTAAGGTCCTTCCCCCAAAGTGGGACTGAGTTCTGCCCGCACTGGCGCCCCCGTGTGGGTCACAGCCGCCTTCCACCCCCGACAAGCGGCATTTCCAGCTCAACCTGTGAGGTCAGCTAAAACCATTTCACTTCACTGCACTTTTCAGGGCAGAAATGCAGATTTTCAAAGGCTAACCCACCAAAATGTGATAGTGGGGACTCACATTACCTAACCTTGGGTCGACCCTACAAACACACCTCAGTAAAAGAGATGTGAAAAAATTCTTAGCCTCACAAAATAAAAACTGAATAAACTGTTAAGGAAAGTGAAACCACGCCATTCAATTAACATATATGTTAAATGTTATACCATGTTATAGTCTAGGAGTGGTTTCAGGCAGAAGCAGAACAGTCACACAGTTCACCTGTCTCACACTGGACAGCACAGCTTTGGGAGCTTTGTTCTTTCCCTCTGAACTAATCCAATGGTTCTTCCCACCTCTGCTGTGCCTCCCTCAGGACACCAGTGACCCGGGAGGGAGGAGGAGCTGCTGCTGTACCTGCTTGCCCTGGGGCAGGAGGTTCAGCGTGCCGTACACCACCACGCTGCTCTCCGTGGACAGCACCAGCCCGTTGTAGCACTGGCACTGCAGCGAGACAGACAAGGGCACAGGTGAGCAAGATCTCATTGCTGACTTTCCTATGGCATCTGCTGGAGTCACAGCTTAGCACACAGGCACTTCCACACAGCTCTCACACTGCCCAACTGCAGCGACATACAATTTAACAGTAACACAACTGAGTCAGCAGCTTAAGGAGAACTTAACATCTACATAACACAACACCAGATGAGGTGTATGAACTCAATGACAGAACACACTGATCACAACTTACCAGCTCATCAGAAAGGACACACTGGAGAAACCCTGTGCCATCTCTCAAGACAATAAACATCAGATTTTTCCCTAGTTAAAAAGAGAAGGAATTTGGTTTCACTATGAGCAGCTGCTGGTTAGCTCCTCATTTGGCAGGACTAGCTTAAAGCACAGAAGTTGAGGAAAATCTGTAGCACTAGCCTCCAAACTGACAATCCCACAGAATTTGAACTAAGAAATGTCTGTGTGCCCACACATTAGGATGAACTGTCAGTGTTGCAGTGAACCTTGAGATCAACCAAAGGCACCTAACTGGTTTAAAAATTTGAGATCAGGTGCTATCAGACTCATTCTGTGTCCAAATTTTGAAGGCCACTGAGTTGTTCTATCTCCCTGCATGAGCTCAGCAATGCTTGTGCTTTACCTTGCCTCCGTAACCTGTGGATCCAGCCAAAAATCTTCACTCTCTGCCCTCTGTAAGCCTCCAGAGCATTGATCTTCACCTGTGAGGCAGGGAATAAAAGCCATTGAACAGGGGAATGGTTCAGCACCTCTTAGAGTTAATCCAGACCCCACCCCAGAGCAGCACAACCTCTGTGCTGACCAGATGCCCCAGCACAGCCCACGTGCCAAGGCAGGGGATCATACTCACACACTTGGGCTCTGGAAGACTGGGGTCATTCTTGATAATGACCTTCTTGGCCTCCTCTAGGTTCTTTTCTCTTCTCAAGAGATCTTCTGCCTGGTTTGAATAAAATTACTTATTAAATAGCTGTAACCAGGCCAGTTGTAAATAACATGTTGTAAATAACATGAAACAACAGCACCAGTGAGCAACAACCTGCAGCTTTTTTGGAGGGGCAGGAATTATGATGACACTGTAATGTTTTTGGAAAACAAGGGTGCTCTGTTCCTTGTGCAACCTACCTCCTTCTTCTCCTTAGCCTCATTTTTCATCTGCTCCCTGTGCCATAGCTTTTTGACATTCTTCATCTGTGATTTGGAAATGATGGCCCATCTCTAAAGGATTCAAGGAGAGAGCAAGAGACAGCAGATTACACTGTGTCCCTGCACACCAGGATGCACTAAATAATCCCCACTAGGAAACCCTTCAATGCCACAGCACCTCATTTTCTTTTTGGGAATCCACATAAATTGTAGGAAATGGCTCTTTTCCTGCTGTCATCAATGCCTAAAAAGGGGAGGAAAATAACCAAAGTGAACCAAAATCATCCTTATAGAGCCTGAGCAGCACCTTGCTCCTGCTCAGGTTGCAAAAGCAGGTATGAAACTCACATTTAAAAATACAAGGGCCATCCCTTGCCCCAGAACACATCCCACACTGCCAAACAAAGCACGTGTTTTGCACACTCACCTTCAAGACTGTCTTGAATGGTTTCTTCTGTGTTCCATCGCCAGTGGAGTCGCTGCCCTCTCGTTCAGACACATACAGCTCTTCTGGGATACACGACAAATACGGGCAATTACTCAAAGCACATTATGAAAGAGAAAATGAACACACGGATGTGTCCCTGCTCACTGCAGGGGCTGGACGAGGTGATCTAAAGGCCTCTTCCAACCCAACCCTTTCTATTATACCACATCTTGATGCTTATCAGCAGTGATAAACCTTCAAATGCACCACTGGTCAGTCAAGATAAGAATCATGTCATACACTTCATTTAAAAAACCAATCCATGTAGCGTGGTCGGTAAGGTCTCCAGGGTCCCCGAGGTACCGAGCCCTCGGGAGCGAGAAGGAGCAGCGCCTCCCGGGAGCAGCTCGGTGCAGGTAAGCAGGGAGAGGGGCCTGGGCACAGCCCGGGCAGCGCCGGGCTCGGCCTGGCCGGACCGAAAGGAGAAGCGCCGGGAGCGGGGTGGGCCCGGCCGGGCGGGCCCGGCGCTGCGGCCGCTCCCGGTGCGGCCCCCGCGCAGCGCCCCGGGGCGCGGGCACCGCACACGGGGCTGCGAGCATGGGGATGGGGATGGGGGTGGGGCTCGGTGCAGGTAAGCAGGGAGAGGGGCCTGGGCACAGCCCGGGCAGCGCCGGGCTCGGCCTGGCCGGACCGAAAGGAGAAGCGCCGGGAGCGGGGTGGGCCCGGCCGGGCGGGCCCG